ACAGATCCATTCAGTCGAACAGCACACAGACGGCTGTTGACTGCTGTCTAATCGAGAAACGCATTTTCTGCCGTACAGCTGAGTGCTATGCTTACACCATCGAGTCTAGGAGGACTACCCACTGGGTTTCCAGATACTCGTTAGGTGAATTTTGAAGATTCACTACTATGACTGGGTGAGGTCAGTTTAATAACCATACTGGATTCCTGTATACATGTCTCAGTGACACAGCGTATATCCATGGCTTGAGATTCCAGAGTTTTGGCGATCGATGCTTGCTGTCCGATTTGGCATAGAGTTTTGGCGTTGAAAGCTCATATAAGAAACCGATTGCGAGTTCTTAGTAGACAAGGAATGAGGTTTCGATGGCATGGTTGCAGAGAGGGAGGTTGGGAATGGCGCAGGAGGTGAAGGCAACGGAGGAGGCAACTTGCCAGAAATGGTTGGAAATTCACGTGACCAACTGGTTACATTATTAATTCTAGTTCATTTCTGTTTAAGATTATCGGAGAATGAATAGATGCAAGTCAATACTGTAGTACCTAGCATTACTGTGCGCTGGTCCAAACTGCTATACCACACGTAGGCACATCTAGATGGAGGTCAGATAGAGGAGGGATCAATAAAACAGCTTTAAAAGTACATACCTTTTCACCTGGATTTAAAATAAGCCATAATAGTAAAACCCCATAAAATGGAGACAAATGAGGATAAAAAGCAAAATTACATCTAACATTATGTTACGAAGCCAACAATCATCAAATACCCAGAGCCTACTCATCTCCACCTATGTGGGCTGTTTAATAGACATAGTGGAAAAAGTTTTGGATACACTGACTGGGACATAAAAATCAAACAAATGACATGTGACTTCTAATCATAAGAACATAAATGGTGAAGTTCTCATTATTCCACAAAGTTGCTTTACACTACTGTAGTTTTTTCAGTAGTGTGGTGAATATGCTTCAAATATTATCAAACATGAATTTAAATTTAATGATTAAGTAGGAAGATGGTAGAAACAACATAGGTACGGACTTAAATTATTTCCTACTTTTCCACTTACGTGGTAAGTTACATTATTCAAAGTTGGTTATTGATTGGCAAAATCTTGGCAAAGATCCAAAAAGCTGGTTCGACTATGCACTAACTTTAAGCTTAAAGTGGTGGTAGGATTATATTGACTGTGTCACTTGTCTGAAAGGTTTACCAATTAGGGGTCAAATTGAAACCAGTCACTATCATGGGACAAGTAATTAACGTAGTCAGAAGTTTGAGGGTGACGTCAGTGTTTTCCTAAAGGCATTGGGACTTCAGTAGTGCTCTTTTGTCATCTGAAGGTAAAATTCGAAATGTAAGTCCCAAGAATTGTATTCCATGTTGTCACGAGTATATTTATTTAGGGAGCATGCAATTTTTCAAGCCCCAACTCACCTGGAAAAAGTTTGTTTGAGAAAAAAAGTTGCGTGTAAGCGTTCTCAAGCAAAGTATCTTTTGGTGTTTGCGATTGAAAAGCTAATCTGTTTTGTATCTTAAGTACTCCAGAAGAAAACCAACCTTGACAGTTTGGGTAGCGAAGCGTCAACACTCCTAACATCACTTGAGTCTCTTGTGACTGTCTTTATGGTTTTTCGTTTATTTTTCTTTATTATCCTGTTACAGTTTTCTTCTTACTTTGAGCCCAGTAATAACAGTTTAAATCCAAAAAGCATCATTTTAGTTTTTCTAAGAGTAGACTACCATCTACACTTTAAGACCTTCAACCTCCAAATCTTATGTCATGGTTGACAGTATATCTTTATCGAAAGCGTTGATTCTCCAAGTTATCGATGTATCTGGTACTTCTGAAACACTGATGCCCAATCAGCTTTTGGCTATCCACTTGACTTATAGCGAATATCTTACTCTACAATTGTGTAGTTATAGTATTATGTCTGGGAACCATAACAAAAATTAGACTAGGTCCCGGCTATTAGTCATTCATTTGTAGAAATCACCACAGAGCCTCAGATAAAAGTGAATGGATTCAAGCTGTTAAACTTCACAACAGTACAGCGAATAGTCATTGAAAGTAGGAAGATAACAGAGCAAATAAGAATGTATTAGAAGAAAGAGTGAATAATGGTCAGTATAATGTTAAGAATTTTTATTATAACTGATTAGATAGAAAGTAAATCAATCCAGATAACTTTCATCTTCCTACAGGGTTTAAACCAACAGTCAAAACCCTTGTGGATTAGCGCCACATCTCGGTCTGGCTTTCTTTCAGACCAGTCCTACTTCGGCTAATATTGCATATCGAGTTAGATAGTGGCTCAGTATGTGTAACATATGTCCAAACTGCCTCAGTTAGTGAAGGTTCACCACCTGGACTTACTTGACGTCGTTACTTAGTACGCCTAACTTTAATGTTCCTCACACAAGGATTCTGCAACGCGGTAACAATCTTACGAATATTCGTATGTTCAAACACTTATTACCTGCCATTTTTGCACGTCACATCCAGTAGTATGAATAATATGACCCCAGTCTGTCAGAACCGTGATCAGTTTCATGACCTGTCATAGAGTTTTAACTATTGATTGATTAACATTAAGTTTTCATGCTGTTCGGCTAGGTAAACCTATAAAAACACGAAAGGAACTAATGTTCATATTTATCCGATGCCTAACTAGAGCTTGAGAATAACAAACCCAAGAAAAGCAGCTAGGTTTCAGAACTGAATGAGGCTGCGTCCATCATATTTTAACCCTTCGATAGGTCATGAAACACAAGCATACTCATCGGTGACCGACACTCACCACGTTTATTGACCTAAAAGCATGTTTCGACTCTATCGACTTTGAGGTGTTGTAGAAGTGTCTGACTGTGAAGGAAGTACCAAGCAAGTATATAACGCCAATCAAGGCTCTCCACTCAAACTCATGCGGCTGTTTTAGGGCTTATAAAGAGTTGTCATTTGAGTTGACGACAACTAGTGGTGTCCGCGCAAGATTCCGGTTATCACTGTTCCTGTTCACCTTCCTCATAGATGCATTAGTGAAAATTACCTTATGTGCACCCGACTTCACAGGGATTGATCTACTCCTTAGAGGCCATGTGGTTAACTTGAAGAATTTTTAACCATGAGCTCTCACTCTTCCTCTAGACAACGAAACTTTTAGATTTCACACAAATGGTAACTTTAATCGAGATCTCAGTGTCACAAAAGTTTTGTGTCGATGAAGTGACAACAATGGCAGTCCCACGCATTTTTACTTTAATAACCACTTGTTCCTAACCTTTGGACATTTCAAACATAAGACGATAATATGTCACTTAGTGACCATCAAAATCTAGCTAATGATAAATTTTAATCATTTATTTTGTTATCAACCATCATTAGGAGTGCGTGATTGGTAAGAAACCGTGGCCCTTCTGGTCAGCTTTTTGCTCAATGAGACAGTTAATTGTCTACAGAAATGTTACAAAGATCCTCATCCTGATACATCTTAGCGTAAGATCCTATCTCTTGTAGAACCAGTGGCAACGACAGTTGATAGATGCCAACAGCTTGGTATGTCTTCATCCTAGTTGACTGATATAAAAAAAGACTCGTTCTCACTGGTTCTACTTGTTGTGGTGAAAAAACCAGCTCGAAGGTAAACCTAGGGTCTTTTTAATAACTATGAGGAGTAGTGAGTCAAGAAAGCAAGAGGGAAGAAGAAGAAATCAGTGTTGTACAACACTGAGTAGTTATTCAGGCAAGTTGACAAAAAGTATCCCAAGATTGCTATCGTTAGTGAAGCTAACCAACATCCAAAAGTTGCTGAAAAACTCAAAACAGTTATTTGAAATTTTATATGGAGCACTAACTTACGCTATGGTGTAGTAGTATGATTGTAAAATCCTACTTCTAAATGAATCTGAGTGTAGTGACGTTAATGTGTGTGTGTGTGTGTGTGTGTGTGTTCCTTCAGGTAACCAACTCCAGCTTTACTGTCTTTGCACTGTCGGAAACAGACTTCAAAATATGTTGGATAATCCTATTGACATGGTAGTAGGAGAGACCCTAAGTGTTATGGTTCATAATCGTTCTCAGCGGCACAGATTCATCTACACATTCTCTGCATTTTAATTGTCATACTGAATTTCAGCATTATGCAATACCTTGCTCTCTTTTCACACCTACCTAACACTTTTAACTACTTTCTTGATAATATCTTTATATTTTTTCTTGGTGCTATCTTTCTTGCTTGACGTCCTTATATGAAACGTGGCAACTTGAACCATTACTCAGTAATACCAGGTCCTGTGTTGACTTTGTCTGTCTCTGTCTGACTTGTGTGTAAGATTCTAGGTTGTTCCTATCATTTATCGTTTTATGCATTAGATTATCTAAAACACTGCTGTATCTAATAAGATACATGCGTTCAAACAAAGAAATAAATTTAGTGTTATTGCTTGTATGACACCGTCGTTGATTGGACCGAATTGATCAGTCTCTGTTGGTATATGGGCTCGTGTGTGGATGCCTCGATATTGCCTGTCTTTTAACTATGTATAGTAATGATGGATAATGGCTAACAGTGGAATCCAGGATGCGCATCTCGTCCTATTTGGGACTCGTCAGCTGGATGTACCTGCCTCCCAGTGCGAAGTGATGTTGTCCCCACCGGGACTCGGTCCAATCAACGACGGTGTAATACAAGCAATAACACTAAACCTATACCCGTCGCACAAGAAGCGGCTATCGTGGCTCAGTGGTGTAGTGGATAACGCTCTCGCGTTTGAAGCGATCGCTCCTGAGTCTCGGTGGAAACAACACTCCACACTGGTAGGCAGGTACATCCAGCTGACGAGTCCCAAATAGGATGAAATGGGCATCCTGGATTCTACTGCTAGCCACTGCCCATCATTACTATACAAAGAAATAAATGCTTTGATTTTTACAGAGAATCACTTTTAATATCTACTGACAACATTGTTTTGTACTAGGAACTGAATCACCTAGATTTTTCATGGAACCTAAACGCCAGAAATTGTGTTCATCAGAAATCAGTAACGTGAAACCGGAGGTAGACATGCTTCAACCGGAACAAGTTGGCATTACTACTTTTGTGCAGCCACTGGTCAAAGGTTTTGAAGCGGTGTTAAAAAATAGGCAAGTCATTTTGAATACTTTTACTAATTCTATAGATGGGAAGATTTTATCGTTCGTGAATTCAGAGGTCATACATATGCTAGATTAACGAATTTAGCACCGATTCCGGATCCTGCTCCTAAAGTATATTTTAAAGCTTGAATTTATTTGCTAGATTGTGGATTTTAATGTGGAGGCGAAACTTGATAACTACTTGACTGATTTACACAGTCTAGACCATGGTGATATTGAAATACTGAAAATCAAAGTACGCTGGTTATGTTATACTTAATAATTGAAAAATTAGGCTCCCGATATTAAGACAGAGAGAACACAAATTCATAAGGCGATAAGTACATTGTTCCCGTCTTTAGAAAGCACTACAGTGAAGGAAAACAATGAGAATGTAATTGTTGTATGCAAAAAAACCCACCCTAATGGTTTGTTTCTAAAACTATTACTAATATTATCATTATTTATTAGCTAAAGGTTCACGCAGACCCAGAGGGAAAGCTACTGGCATGGCTAAAAGTACACCATATTGTCACTTTGTACTGTACAAAGAGGGTAAAGATACACTTAGTGCTGTTCAACTACTCAGTCGTTTCCTTCAGTATGTTTATTCAAGTTATTCACTTTTGATTTTGAAGTGTTGGACCCAGTGTGTTTTCATATGCTGGTACCAAGGATCGTCGAGCAATTACTACACAATTTGTTACAGTGAAAGGGTAGAAAAATTCTCTCAATTAATCAGTTTTATGTATAGCGTCAATTCAAAAACTTTATCTTCATTGAATACACGACTTCATGGATTGCGTGTAGGCGATTTTTCATATGTTTCTTCTCCTCTTTTCTTGGGAGATTTAGACGGTAATCAGTTCGTCATTGTGTTAAGGTTAGTTTATCAACTTTATAATAAGTTGACTGTGCCATTTCTAGGTCAGTGTGTGCACCTGAATCTGTTGTTGAAACGGCAGTTGAAGCTTGGAAGTCTACTGGCTTTTTGAATTACTATGGTCTTCAGCGATTTGGACATTCTTCAGACTCGAGAAGTTTCGAGATTGGAAAGTATGTTGGATTTGTTTATCCTGCTGAATGAAAATTGAGCATATATATACGTACATGTTTACATGATTCAACTAAGCTATGGAAAATGGTTATGCTTAGCATCTGGTATTTCCAATAAGATGTTTCTCAACTAACAATGAGGATAATTTTGAAATGGTTTTAAATCTGAAGGTAAACTAAGCTCTCTCAGCAACCATATTCATATTCATACACCAGTCAATGAGCCACATCTGTTGTGTGAGAAGACTAACGGTGCTACCAGGCAGCTCAAATGTCGGTAGGTAGCTGCATGGTTCGAACCAATGGCCTACTGGTTGAAAGTCGAGAGTACAGAATAATGAACTACAGTTTGTCAGTTTTGACTGTCTTTTAACGAATTTGACATCAAAGTTCCACATCATTTTAATATTTTCTTTCTGTTTCATCGTTACGGTTCTGTAAATATCAAAAAAGACGTTACAAGACCAAATCATAGCGGTTGGATAAGTACTGTAGTACTTTCTTTTCGTGCATGCACATCAGAAGAAATAAGATATATCGGTTACAAATGCAACATCAGAGTACTCTTTAAAGTGATGGACACTCTGAATTCACACTTATTCTGATAAAAAAAAACCTTAATACCTCAACAGGAACAACAAAAAGGTCATCTATAAGGGCATACACTGAGGAGGCTGGCTGGGGACAGCACACGCCAGGCGACGCCCTCGAGTGGAATCCAAAGAGGAAACGACGAGTTGGACGTGCGAGACGAGGGTGACATAGAGGAGATGATGTGAGGAAGAAATGAAGGCTACTGGCTAGTTGTGGTGCCAGGTTCAAAAGACTGCAGAGAAGAGAGTGGAATAGAGACATGCTACTGAATCCCTATGTTCCACTAGCAATCCAAGGGAAAAACAATAACAAATGTCTTAACCTTATTTCTATATTACTCCACTTGCACAAAGTTGACTAAGCTTCTTAAATCCCTCACTAAAACTAAATTCTATGTGACAATTCACTTGAAAGATCAAAAGGTCACCTATTGTAACAATCACCAATATGTTACTTCATCCTTAGATTACTTATTCAATATTACCATACAGCGATATAGTATCACTGACTAGAAAACGTTTTAAGCAGATATGAGCAATAAATTCTATTTTAAACATCATCACTTAATTGACACTTTATCATTATTTGCTATGTCAAATAAACAATCTAATACACAATTATACTCTACGACAGTCCCATGTTTTACTTCTGTTTCACTTGGAGGCTTAATGTCAGACTCATACTGTTAAAAAGGAAGTGACTCTATAGGTAGACTTTATAGATAGTATAGGAGTGACTTTAAAGGCCACTTCATATTTCAATCCTCCGACAGATTCTGGTACACAGGCATATCTACCGATGCCTGACACTTGTCACATTTCTTCATCTGAAGGCAACATTTGACTCTGTCTAGTGTGTGATGTTGTACCAGTGTTTAACTGTGAAGGGAGTACCAAGCAAGCCTATAAAGCTTATCAAAACTCTCTACTCAAACTCGTCGACCCATTGCTCATCTCGACTTACCATGCTTGAGGAGGTTGAATTAGGTTGGAAGAGGGTTCAGGGTGACCAAACTAATACGTGGCACCAGTCCATGAAGTCTGTTACTGTTGATCTGAGTCGTTTTGGGGATGTATACTGCCTGGTTTGAGTTTTCGAGACTAAAGGAATCAGTGGTTATGGACTCTTGGTGGTATGACGTAAAGTCGATGACAGTGGCGCAGATGTATTCATTCCTTGACATCTTCTAAAGCTTGAAAATTCACACTAACCTTTATCTTCAGATTATTTCTTAAGCAATACTTTACCTACTTTGATATCAGTCTTTTCCTACTCATCTGTTCTTTGTATAACTCTGTGAAGTGTAGTAAATTGATCCGATGATCTCCTGCTTAAGGTTCCACGTTGATTTTGTCAGTCAGTCAGTTAATGGTCACCCCAGAAACTGCTGAAATAACTAGTCAAATATCGATATTTTTGCCGGGATCGTCATCATCATTATCAACATAGGACCAGGCATTACTGCCTAACGGTCCGAGTTGCCACACCTCATATCAGCACATCAAGTAAAAAGGTAGTGAGGCGAAGGATGAAGATAAGTGAATGCAGTCAAAAGAAATATAAAGTACAAGAAGAAAGGAAAGAGGAGTGACAAAATGGTGAGATTCGGTATAGTGTTGTTAAGATGAGGATAATATATGTGGGGATACATCTGCGCCACTGACTTCGGTTCTGAGCCATATCACCTAGGGTCTCCAACCACTGGTTCCTCTTGTCCCGTGGACCCCAACCACCTAGTGTGCATCGTCCTACATGGCTTAAACCAACAGTCAGAGACTTCATACATTGGTGCCATGTTTTAGTCTGGCCACCTCGGGCAATTTTCCAGCCTGAACCCACTTCACCCAACATTGTGTGACGAGGTAATCGGTGACTAGGCCTACGTAGTACGTGTCCCAACCATCTGAGTCGATGAAGGTTCACAACCTCGTCAACTGACTTACCTCTTCTCCCCAAAACTCTACACCTAACTTCTGCATTACTCACATGGTGACACCACGGAATACGTCCTATACTACGAAGGCAACGGTGGTCAAACACCTGAAGCCTTTTTGTATCCTCCACTTTCAATGGCCGTGTTTCACAGCCATATAATAGAACAGAGCGGACTGCTGTGCAGTACACGCGACCCTTAATAGACAAACGAATATCACGGCGGCGCCATAGGTGGCGCAAATTGGCAAAAGCCAATCGAGCCTTTTGTATCCGTGCAGAAATCTCATCGGCAACTAACCCACCAGGGTTGATCCTACTTCCCAGGTAGGTGAAGTGGTCAACACACTCAACCACTTCACTCTCTATTGTTAGCCGTGGCACCGCTGAAGACCAGTCCTGGAGCAAAAATTTGCATTTGGGTGGTGAAAATCGCATCCCAAACATTCTCAAATTCCCACTCAAAGTGTCCAGAAGACTCTGCATCTTGTCAGCCCCTTCATCTAACAGGACTATGTCATCTGCATATTCTAGATCTAAAGAAAATTCACCTGTGATTGGGTCAACGTCTTTGTAATTAGGTGACGAGAGGGAAACCTCCATAAGCCGGGATCGTAGTTTTTCATAAGGTAAAGAAGCGTAATTGGTTATCTTATCAGTTTTCAATATAGTCTTTAAAATCACTCCCACCCTAGTAACTATTGAAATAAACTATTAGGTTTCTTTATTTTATAAAAGAACTATCTTTCCAGTCGTAATAGAAAAGTTTACTAATGAACAACTTGAATAGTTATAAACCATTCAGGCTAATCTGTAGATTTTTCGCTAGCCAGATCAGAATGAACTAAACATTGAACGACGGTTTTAACTGGTTTGGGGCGAAGTCTCAGCTCTTCAGCGATGTGTTTAGAAAAATTCAGCTCACAGGGTTGAATTAGTTCAGATCATATGAACCTGAAGTAAGATTATGAATTTGCATATGATTTACAAATTATACGGTCTATATTGACATAGTTCAAAGCTGAGTAGTTTTTCAGTTGCCCAGCTTGTGAAATAGAGAAACCTAATCGATTATTTAGTTAGTTGTTAGGGTGAACATTGGATTAACTATGACAAGAAATAACTGTAAATGTTGACTACAGAAGTAACCAATTAGATTCCTTTATTTCGAGTAGAAAGGTAGTTTTTTTTCCCATAAAATACCAAAATCTAATCAGGTATTTCAGTAGTTGGGTTGGGTGTGCCTGCAGAGTTAGTCACCTATGTAGGACATAGTCTTAGCAAGGTCAAAACCTTAAGGAATGATGCAAAATATACACTTCAGTTGCCACCTAAAAAAAAAACTTACCAGTGACTATGGCAGAGCCTTGCTGATCACTTGGTTTCTCCGTAAGTAGAAAATGCGGTAATAGAACACAAGGTGTATTTACAACGTTAACAATACATACAAATTACAAGGTTTATACACATTACAATGACCCTGACTACCAGGCCTATTAGGTTTAAATTCTATTGATTTTTGGTCTCTTCAACCCACCCTAATGCTTACACGTTGGTTCACATGTTTTCTCCTGAAATTTCGAAGTAAAGCGATTGGTTGAAAAAGGCTTTAGGCATATATGGATTCTTAGGAAGATTTTGTCAATCTTTCTGCACACTATGTATCAATCAGTATTCAACAAATACATCTTATACATCGAATCGCATGAATTCAAAGCGTATGTATTTCCAACCAATCCAGCTCATTTTTGTTGGGATTCAAATTCAAATTAATAGGTACTGCCTAAACGAGAACTATTTATGGATCGAAAGAAACACTTATTGTGAGGTATTATTCATCATGGAGTGATATCAGTTGAAGGAACCGTTGAAAATCTGAGGACACTGAACAGCTGTTTCTTCCTTGTTCAGGACTCCTCAGCAGTACGCACCCACGACCCGGCTAGGGACCAAACTCAGGACCTTCAGGTTTCCCGGCGAACGCGTTAACCATTCAGCCACTGAGTCGGAGTCCGATGGTTTCCAGCTTGTGTCAAGTCACTATATAGCTTGACTATCACCCAAGTTCTTCAGTTGGCATCCGCTTCCCTTACGACTGGTTGACGCCACAGGTCACGGCTTTTCATTAGAACTTCAGGGGATATCCATCTGGAAGCATGTCACTAACTTATTTTGAGGTGAATAAGGGATTTCAGTTCTGAGGTAGTATTCATCATAGACTGACTGGAAGCACTAGATAGCTGGTTCGGCCCTAACCGGGTCATGGGTGTGTACTGCTGAAGAGTCCTATACTAGGACGAAACAACTGTCCAGTGCTCCTAGATTTTCAATGGTTCTCCAACTGATATCAGTCCGTAATGAATTGTACGTCAAAATACAAAACACTTATTTTTACTGAAAGACTTATGAATATTTGATCATTCAACTCTAGTTAAATCGCTAAGGTCAGTGAACACAGATGATGCAGAACCATGTAAGAACACTTCACTCCATAAAATAACCGGTAAATCATTTAATCTATCCTACGGTAAGCTACTAAAAGTATTTAACTAACATTTTAGGTGTTTGAAGCTTAGCCATCTTTTGATATCAAGTTGAGTTATTGATTGTTGAAAAACTGACAGTACCAGTCCAGTTTTCCCGGTAGTCTGTAACTTTAAATTTCTTTAACTTTATAAGAGAGTTGCTGAAACTATCCATCCTATAGAAGAACTTTACAGACGAGGATGTCAAAGTCAGAATCGGAAAAGCAAGACAGGCCTTTGTTAGCCTGAAACCAGTGTGGAGATCTTCTACATTCAGCATGTGGAACAAGATCCGGATTTTCAACACCAATTCCGTCAAGTCAGTGCTCCTGCATGGTTCAGAGACTTGGCGGCGCGTTATGAAAAGGATTTCCAACAAACTACAGATATTCATCAACAACTGCCTACGCTGGCTTGTTACCGAAGATCAGATGGCCAGAATTATAAGAATAAGCAACAAGCAACTCTAGCTGGCTGGTAACGAACCAACCAAGAAGCTATCGCTGAGCAAATATGCAGTAGCAGGAAGTGAAGATGGATTGGGCATACACTGAGAAGGCCGACTGGGAACATCACGCATTAGGCTCTCGAGGGGAATCCAGATGGGAAACGACAAGTTGGGCGTTGGTGTTGAGGGTGACATGGAGTAGATCGTGCGAGGAGGAAATGCGAGCTTGTGGGCTGTCGTGGAACCAGGTTGAAACGATTGCAGAGAAGAGAGTGGAATGGAGACGTGCTACTGAAGCCTTATGTTCCATTAGGAACCCAAGGGACAAATAATAATGCTAATAATAATAATAATAATAATAATAATAATAATAATAATAATAATAATAATAATAATAATAGAAGAAGAACTTTGATGAATGTACCGTATTTCACTTCAAGAACATTTCACAAATACTAATCTATCGAGTGGATTGTTTTTCTCTTTCTAGTAGACATTTCTCACTAATTTTTTCTCAGTACTTGAAAGTAGTAAATGTTTAGGAAAACAAATAATAGATGTTTATTCTCATTTTGACCAGCTGAGATAGCCGTGGTTTGGCAGACTAATATTTACACTGGGTAGTGATTTAAGTGTAATAAAAATCTGGTTAGCAGTCGGACGTCGCAGCTCACTTGATAGAGCATCGATCTGGAAACCCAGCGGTCTCTGAGTCGAATCCGACCGCGATCCGGATTCTCATTTCACCTTCAACCATCACCCAGTATCAATACAAGTTCCCTAAACTACTACTATCTCAGCCAAAATGATAATCAACATGACCCCACCACCACCACCACCACCACCACCACCACCACCACCACCACCACCACCACCACCACCACCACCACCACCACCACCACCACACATTCTCTAATTCAGTTAGATTTCGATTGGGATGACAAGTCCTGACTGGGAAGCCAGTGTGAATACGAACAGGCGGTAGTAAGGAGTTACGAATTCATATGGTAGTCGGGTAAACAACCCTTTGGTGATTGAAGTGAAATAAAAATCTGGTCAGCAATCGGACCTAGTAGGTCAGTTGGTAGAGTAGAGTATTGGGCCGGTAACCCGGTGGTTGTTGGTTCGAATCCAGTCGCAATCTTCATTTCATCTTCAACCTTTATATTAACTGGATAATTGTTTTATTTCAATTGTTTTTTCAGATATCTCATTCGTTCTGATTGGGCCAACGCTATCGATCTAATTTTGAAACCAACATCCGCAGGTATTTACCACTAATTTATCACCTTGTTTTACTTGGTCTTATAGATCTACCGTTTCTTCGAGAAATTAAAGAGAGATATTTTAAATTTGGTGATGCAAACAGTTGTGCTGAAGAATGCCCAATGAGTATAGAGAAAACTTTATTATTAGGTGTTGCAAAATATGGGAAAACTTTAAATGCTATACAAATGGTAAGTCGGTTAGCAATAAAATGAAATCAATTAGTATTTTCTCCTCTCCCTTTATTTTAAATGATCATGTCAGGCAAATAGGCTAAGACATAGAAACAATATTGAACTTGGTAGATATAACTGTATATCAGTTCAAGTTGCCACATCTCACTTTAAGTTGGTATGCCAAGGTGGAGAAAAAAAGGTAAGTGTAAATAATCTCTAAGGTTGTAAAGTAACATAAAACGATAAAGTGAAGTAAATAAAGATATATAATATCACTGTCTGTATAAAAATAAGGTATGGATGTATTTATATCCTTATGTGGATTGGTTCTTGAGGTAGCCACTTCACTGTCTATACAATACTACTTATTTCTCTGAAGAATGATTTTATTCAATGATGCGTGTCAAAAAGTGATCTTTACTATTTATCTTATTTATTTTTCCCTTGGGTTCCTAGTGGAACATAGGGATTCAGCAGCACATTTCCATTCCACCCTCTTCTCTACAGTCTTTTGAACCTGGCACCACAACTAGCCAGTAGCTTTCATTTCTTCCTCACATCATCTCCTCTATGTCACCCTTGTCTCCGACGTCCAACTCGTCGTTTCCCCTTTGGATTCCACTCGAGGGACTGGCTGGCCTGGCGTGTGATATCCCCAATCAGCCTTCTCAGTATATGCCCAATCCATCTCCATTTCCTACTACTGCATATTTGTTGGTTGGTTCGTTACCAGCCAACCAGAGTTCCTAGTTGCTTATTCTTTCTGACCATCCATCTCATCTTCAGTATCGGGTGAGCGTGGGCGGCAGCTGTTGACGAATGTCTGTAGTTTGTTGGAAATGCTTTTCTTGACACGCCCAGTTTCTAAACTGTATAGCAGCACTGACTTGATTGAATTGGTGTTGAGAATCCGGATGTTGTTCAGATTTTATGGTGAGTGCAGTAGATGTGCACACTGTTTTGAGATTAGGGAAAGGGTGTTTTGGTTTTCGGATCCTGGCTGCTTTGACATGGTCGTGTATGCGACCACCGCGTGTAGTTGAAACGATGCTGTCTAGGTAGGTAGGTAGGTAGGTGAAAGAGACTACTTGGTTTAGGTTTCTCCTGTTGATGGTGATTGATGCCTGTTGTTGTTGATGCTGTTGTTGGTTGGGTATCTTAATCACCTGTGTCTTGTCTACATTCACTTGCAGTCCTATCTTTGCTGCCTCTTCTATCAACTTGTTAGTTTTTGCCTGTAGATCTTCGAGTTTGTGCGACATTCAACATAAATCATGATCGGCGAAATCCAGTGGTTGGAGACGCCAGGTGATTTGGCTCAGAACTGATGTCACTGGCACAGATGTATACACACATTGTCTTCATCTTAACTCTGTACTGAATCTCACTATCTTCTAATTCTTCCTTTCTTTATTTTAGTACTTTATATTTCTTTTGACTAAATCTTCTTTTCTTCATCTTGCGCATCACTGCCTTTTTACTTGATGTATTGATATGAGCTGTGGCAACTCGGATTGTTACGCAGTAATGCCTGGTCCTATGGTGATTTGGATGGGTGGATGGATGTTCCTTTCTTACAGCTTTATTATATGATTCCTTCATCTTATTGCTTTGCATATTATTCTCAAACATTATTCATATTCCCGTCATTTTCTACTTACTTTATTCCATTATATCTTAATCATGCTTATTAGCACATTCATTTCCATTCCTCTATCATTAACTGATAGACTTTTCACAACATCTTTTATGTTCCCCCTTTCCTCTGTTATCGAAATTCCTACCACCTTGAGCTGTAATGACATTTCTGTACTACTGTCACGTAGTACTTTTTTTTGTGTGTTTACTGATCGATTTTGTGGTTTGACTCATCATCATCATCATTATCAACATAGGACCAGGCATTACTGCGTAACGGTCTAACTTGCCACACCTCATATCAGCACATCAAGTAAGAAGGTAGTGAGGTGAAGGATGAAGATAAGTGAATGCAATCAAAAGAAATATAAAGTAGGAGAAGAAAGGAAAGAGGAGTGACAAAATGGTGAGATTCGGTATAGTGTTGTTAAGATGAGGATAATATATGTGGGGATACATCTGCGCCACTGACTTCGGTTCTGAGCCATATCACCTAGGGTCTCCAACCACTGGTTCCTCTTGTCTCGTGGACCCCAACCACCTAGTGTGCATCGTCCTACATGGCTTAAACCAACAGTCAGAGACTTCATACATTGGTTCCATGTTTTAGTGTGGCCACCTCGGGCCTTTTTCCAGCCTGGACCCACCTGAGCCAACATTGTGTGACGAGGTAATCGGTGACTAGGCATATGTAGTACGTGTCCCAACCATCTGAGTCGATGAAGGTTCATAACCTCGTCGACTGACTTACCTCTTCTCCCCAAAACTCTACACCTAACTTCTGCATTACTCACATGGTGACACCACGGAATACGGACAATACTACAAAGGCAACGGTGGTCAAACACTTGAAACCTTCTCATGTCTTCCACCTTCAATCGCCATGTTTCACAGTCACAGGCAACACTAATAGCTCACTGTACAACATTTTAAATTTAATACTTCGTATGTGAGAGATTTAAAGTACATGAAATGAATTCGATTCATCCCATAATGTTTTTTGTTCTTGCCTTGCAAAGAAATTACACAGTAGGAAATGTCACATCCTGTTTACCATACATGAATTTAGGCATAGATGCGGTCTTTCTCTAGACATCCTTTCAATAATTCAGAACGTCCTCAGTAATACTACATAGTCACCTTCAACTTGTTTAGTCACTTCAAGGTCTTTTGATAGTCGGTCAAGGCCGTCAAAATCCCTAATTCCAATCTTATATTTATCGTGGCTTAGACTATTCATACTAAAGTTCATTACAAAGTTGTTATTGCAAAATAATCAAGGATAAACATATTCTTTACTGAGGTCATCATTTTTGCATCCTATTTTAAGGTGGTCACGAGATATTTGTTGCAAATAAGTTAAAAAATAACTGGATTTGCGTCAGTACTTTTAACTTGATTACTATGAGGGATGTATACCACTCACCGAGGCTATTTTTCGTAAGAGATTTATACATGATATCTGTAAGATTCACAGTTACTTGTTATTCACTTAACAACGTGGAATGTGAGTAACTTTTGGATTCAATAGTTTGAAAAAAAACTTAAGCGTTTATTACTATTTATTGACATACTTGTTATTCTCTATTGTTTTGTTGGATCGAATTGTTCGACCTCTGTTGGTTGGTTGTGGCTAGCAGAAGAATCTAGGATGCGCGTTTCGTCCTATTTGGGACTCGTCAGTTGTGGCTATCGTTCCCTCGTGGCATGGTCGATAATGCCTTGGCGTTTGAAGCGATAGGTATGAGGTTCAAGTTTCAGTGGGAACAACGTCACAGGGGTGCAGGTACATCCAACTGACGAGTCCCAAATAGGACGAAACGCGCGTCCTGGATTCTTCTGCTAGCCACAACCAACCAAATAAAGCATTTATTGCATGATATTATTCTCACATTCTTATTTCTCATTAAACTGAAAACAATACAAAGCTTTATTAATGTTTACGCCTTTAGAGTTATGTCTACATTCCCGTTACAGTTAATGTCGTATGTGTAATGCTCAACTCAGTTACTGGTAACCAGGTTAAATTATTTCCATATTAGATTTGTTTATTTGATTTATAATACAGTGTGGTGCAGTATTATTTGCTTAATGATTAAGTTTCCAACACATATTATCATTAGTAATGATGGGCAGTGGCTAGCAGTGGAATCCATGATGCCCTATTTGGGACTCATCAGCTGGATGTACCTGCCTACCAGTGCGGAGCGATGTTGTTCCCACCGGGACTCGGGAGCGATCGTTTCAAACGCGAGAGCGTTATCCACTACACCACTGAGCCACAATAGCCGCTTCTTGTGCGACGGGTATAGGTTTAGTGTTATTGCTTGTATTACACCACTGCTAGCGACTATCCATCATTACTATACATAGTTAAAAGATAGGCAATATCGAGGCATCTGCATAGGAGCCCATATACCAACAGAGACTGATCAATTCGGTCCAATCAACGACGGTATAATACAAGCAATAACACTGTTATTCTTTGTTTCTATTGGTAGTTATAATTTTCATATCTCTGGTGTGTTGGATCGCAGGATAAACGAAGGACAGACCGTCGGTTTGGATATCACCGTCTACAGAAAATCGACACATTCTAACAAGTATCTAGACTTCAGGTCATCTCATCCAATGTCAGTTAAGGCAGGTCTAGTCAAATGTTTAAGTGGTAGAGCTAGAAAAGTGACTAGTCAGTGCATGAAGCTTAACAGGGAATTGAAGAACACAAAAGAAGCGTTAATAATTATCCTCCGCAGTTTGTTCAGAAATTCTAACGAACACACAAGAAACGACAACATGAGTAGAAAGGAGTTCACAGCCTTCATTGTGTTACCCTATAAGAATGGTACATCAGAAACTTTACGTAGGATTCTCAACATAGCTGGAATTAGGGTGGGATTTAAACCTAAAAACTCACCCAGAGCTAAGCTTTGTCGACTGGCTTAAGGATCTGACAGAACCTACCAAATTCCATCTAATGACTACGAGGTCAAGTACATAGGTCAAACTAGCCAGTTGGGACCAGTCAGATTAGTAGAACATAGGAATGTAGCTAAATATAGGATGACAGACCCCAATAAGATCAATAATCTAGAAAACACCTCAGCTGTTGCAATGCATACAGTAACACACAACCACAAATTAGAGTGGTGTAAAACCACTATGCTTAAGTTAGAAGAGAGACTGATTACTGAATCTTTGTTCATCGAACCGACACGCAACATAACACATGTAATAGAAACGATGCAACACCTATACCAGAGATATGGAAAATTTTAATACAATAGAAACAAGGAATAAGAGGTGACATGAATGTGATAATCGATTGTTGAAAGCAGTGTGACTACATTGAAATATGATAATGAGCAGTAATAATT